CCCCCCGGATGTTTGACCCTTTACGATCTTCCTTTCTCCCGAGAATACAATTGCTTCTTACATGCATGGTATCCATCCCCCTTTGTCCTCAATATAAAACTACCCAACCCACTCACCGTCCCCGCTGAAAGTCTGTTGTATTTCAGGCATTCTCACACATACCCTTTTTTTTATTTGCATTGAAAAACAAACAAACAAAAGGCTGTTTTTAATGCTTAATCCATGTCCATAGTGCTATTAGGCAATAATGCAATGAAAAGGAAAAGAAAAACATATGCCTGGAGTTAATATCACTGCTACTACTACCTCTACCTAATGTACTGTACAAGCAAAAAAGCAACGAGGCCAAATAACTAACCAGCTAGGAATAATAAATTTGACCAACTCAGAGCTTCGTCCGGGCAACAACCTTAACTTTAACAAGAGCTCCATTATGCACTTGATAGTCCCTTCCAGCCTGCCATCCAAGCCAGTCCTTTAATGTCTTCTCGCCCCCGGAGCCAGGATGAATGCCGCCCCCGCTCCATCCGCCGTCTTCAGGCCTGATGTCTAGCCCCGGCGTATCTGATAGCCCAACAACCGGCCGCTGGTCGTACCCTGCTTCTTCGAGCTCGTCCATCGTAAGCAAGGGCGTAGCACAAGCATCCGTCCCGTCAAATATAGCCTCCCACTCACTGCGGGTCTTTTCCCGGAACCTCCGCGCAAACACAGCTCGCATGTACGGCCAGTTCTCCTTGTCCTGCCTGTCCATACTCGAGCCAAGAGGAAACACCTCTTCCTCTCTCAAGCCCAGCCCATCCAGCAGCGCAGTATAGAACTGTGGCTCTAAGGCTCCTACAGCAAAATATCTCCCTTTATCCTTGGTCTCGTATGTGTCGTAGTACGGACATCCGCCGTCAAGAACATTGCTGCCTCTGGGCCCATCCCACATTGGTGTCTGCCTCGCCAAGCGGGGGAATGTAGCCAGGTATGCTGACCCATCTACCATATTGGCATTGACGACTTGGCCTCTGCCCGTGGTCTGACGAGCAAGCAGCGCAAGTAATACTCCCTGGAAACATACCGCTCCGCCGCCAGCAAAGTCCCCGAGGATGTTCCCCGGTGCGTACGGCTTCTGTCCTTCCCGGCCTAGCAGAGATAGAGCCCCGGAAACTGCTATATAGTTTATATCGTGTCCTGCCATGTCCTTGTACTTCCCATCGCGACGAAACCCAGTCATGCGCGCAATGATAAGGCGGGGGTTATGCTTCAGTAGTACGGTTGTAGGACATAGCCCTAGCTTCTCCAGGACGCCAGGGCGGTAAGGGTCGATCAGGACGTCGGCTTTTGATAGCAAGGATAGCAGGACGGCCTTTGAAGCAGGGTTCTTGAGGTCGAGGCTGATGGATGTTTTGTGTCGGGTTAGTGCGTCAAATGTAGGTGGTGGGACGGGCTTTGACTGCGAATGGGCATTCGGATGCGGTCGATCGATTCTAACGACAGACGCGCCATAGTCGCTGAGCATGAGGCCAGCAAATGGGCCTTAAGTATGTTAATTAGGGGGGTGATTTAACTGTGGTAAAATGGCTTAACGATTGATAACCAACTGACCTGGTGCTAGACCAGCGAGTTCGACAACCCGTATACCCTGCAATGGGGGAGCAGAGCCCGCCATATTGCAACCCAATTTCTAGGTAATAGTATCCCAGGCAGGTAAAGGAGCCTCTAGTGGGATATAGTTGGAACAAACCTGGTTGTCTGTCTGCTCCGTGACTGACTGCCTGGCTCTCGCGATCTGATAACTGCACAGGAACCAGAGCTCGGGCCAACTCCCCACAGGAGCCGAGGTAAAAGTCACGTGTATACAGATGAAACGCAACGATTGATAAGATCTAGATCAAGATAAGGGAGATAAGGGAGATAACAATAACAACCAAATATCATAACCCAAAAAAAGTTTTGCATCAATAAAGGAAACACATTATTCATACACGCTATAAGTCCCAGAAAGATCTCAATAGATAGACAAGCACCAAAGACAAAAGCATATCCAGGCTAATGTTATCCAGTCGCAGGATGTCCCCGGATCAGCTAGCCGGCTCTCCCAAAAGGGTATTCCAAATCTCTCCAATCTCAATGTCCTGCACCTTTCTAGCATATTTATACTTGTACCCCTGTTTATCCCCGTTTTCATTTCTCTTCGATATGATGTTGTCTCCAACTTCCTGCTTCCCCCACATAGTCATTAATACCCTACCCAATTTGTCGTTGTCCCTAGTGAGCTCGTCGACACGGGCTTTCCAAACGTCTTCCCTCTCGCGCATGATTTCAACAATCTTGCCGTCGATTTTCTTCGCAGCAGAAGTGTTAGCCTTGATGATAGCTTCAAGTCTCTTTTGTGTCATATGGTGATGTGCTATTTCAGCTTCCATACGCGCCATGTCTTTCTCAAGCTTCTCTTTGGCTGCCTGTTCTGCCTTGAGCTCTGCCGTAAGCACACTTTCCCGGTTCTTAGAGGCAGCCAAACGGGCCTGGAGTTCACTGCTAGGGCCCTGAGTGTTGTTTCGATATTTGGCTAGCTGCTCAGAGTGGGATGATTTGAGCTTCGCTATCTGTGACTTGTGTGACTCTTCGGCCTCTGCTCGAAGTTTCTGCAAAGCTCCGAGCGCTTGATCATGCTCCTGGGTAGTCTCAGTTGCCCTCTTTTTGAGCTTTGCATTATCGCAGGTGAGGACGGCGATCCTCTCGAGTAGCTCGGTGTTTTCGTTCTTAACAGACTCAATTTTGGAAGAAGTTTCGGTGAGGCGGTCACGATAGAGTTCGGCCTTTCGAGCTTCGAGACGTGCTGCGCCATTGGCCTTCTTGAGTAGCTTCTGCAATTCCTTCTGTGCATCTTCAGATTCTTTCGAGCGCTGTTTCTGCTCTTCTAAAGACTTCTCACTCAGATGTTTCACATGTTCTCTCAAGAGAGCAACGATTTCAAAGAAAGGTTTTCCCAGCGCAGGGAGGGCCAGCTCCCCTGCAAATTTCTGAATTTCCCTTAGCCTTGCCAAACTCTCTGCGGCTTCTTCGGTCTTTTGAGATTCTGTTGATTCCAACTGCGCCTTTAAGTTTTGAACAGTCTTCTCCAGATCCTCCGAGGTCTTCTGGATCGAGTCTCGTTCCCTGGTGACGGATGTTAACTGATACTTCAGGCTGTACACTCCGCCAAGCTTCTTTTCACAGTCTTGTTTTGTCTGCTTCAATTCTGCACTTATTTCCTCGGAGTGGCGCTTATGAGCTGAACGAGCCTCTTCCAGCTTCTTCTCCGCATCTTTCAGTTGTTTAGTTTTGTCTTTCAAGTTACCCCTAAGGGTAGACTCTTTTGAAGTCAGGCTAGCAACGTCACTCCGCGCTTGTTCCAGCTCTGACTTGGTTTTTCGTAATTCATTAAGTTCCGCGTCAGTCAGCTTATTCATTTCGTCGCGCCTCTGCATCTGCTGTTTCAGTTCATCTATCTCCTTGCGCAAAGAGGTTTCTTCCGTCAGCTTCGCTTCCATCTCTCGGATACGTCTCGTTTTAGCTTCAAGATCCAATTCGAGTTGACAGATCTGCTGAGCAGCACACAATGTTTGGTCTCCCTGCTGGCTGTTTATCGTATCGTCCATCCTGGACAGGTCTCCTGTGGGAGTCGCCGGAGCTGATTTTCGAGCCGGGGTATAAATAACCGAGGTTTCCTTTACATCGCCTGTTTCGTTGATGTTTCTAGATGGGGTAGCCTGATGTTTTGATATCGATGTGTTTTGTAAAGTTTCGTTTACGTCTCTCCAGAGAAAGTGTGCAGGTGTGGAAGTTTCCAGAGTGTGCTCGAGGTGGGTATAGTCCGGCAATCCTGTGGCTCTCGTTTGTCCCTCTGGATCATTCCCATCATTTTGTTCATCCACTGCTTCTTTTTGATCTTCCCTACTGGCATCTGCCTTGACTTTGCTTCCTTCTCCCTTAACCTGCACCTGGGTTCGTTGCGTGTCCTCCAGGTCAGCGTTCTTCAGAAGCTCGACCATGTTTAGCGTAAAGTCCTCAGGACCCTCGATATCGGACGAAGGATTGTTGCCATCCTCCTGTATCTTGTGTTTCTTTTCACTATCATCCTTTCCAATACTAACTAGCTCACCGGGAAGTTTGTTGAGGTCAAACGTGTATTCGCTCAGGTCAACTTCCGAGTCACTGTTGTCGTTGTTTGTCATTTTCTTCGGAGACTCTCTGACGGGGATCCGACTCTTTCGAGAAATGTAAGGGCTTGTAGGATTGTGAGGGCTTTGAGGATTGGTGCTCGATATGCTCTTTCTCTTCGTTCTCAGGTATGGAAGCGATTTTCGACGTGGAATTGCGGACCCGGACGGGCTAGCGAAGAGCCTAGACTGACCAGGGGTGTCATGGGAGGTTGGACATGGTGACGAGAAGCGGTTTGCCATGGTTGGAGGCCTACCAAGAGTGCAATGCCGTCTGCTATGTCAGAGCAGTCCACCAACTCCCTTTCATGCTGTTTTCTTTCTCAAAGTTTTGCCGCCGCACCGGTCGCAGTGTTTACATATTTCTACTTCCGGTTAGTGTCAAAATCTCATCACGTGATGCATTACGCGCGCTCCAAGAAATATATTGATTTTTAAGTTGGGAACTTTTTGATATCACAAAACTCCAGCTTGTTCTTCATCCTTGGAGCACGCTGAAGGCCGCGTTATCCGAGTCAACGCCTGCCCAGGTACGCCTTGATTTTATGGGGAAGTGAGCCTCGACTACCCCGCACGCGCGTTCGACTCCAATTCATCTAGGTTTTATGAAATCATAACCACTCCTGCCTGGCCAATGGCTGGATCAACCCAAACCTTGGTGATGACGTCAATTGCGCAGCAGCTCTAGGTGGAATGAATAGATATATACCCTATGTCGGTATTGTACTGACTACTGTTCAGCCTTCAGTTGCCTAGCAACTGTTCATTGAGTGATCTATGTGCTATGTGTCGTTACTTCCTCTCTGTATCAAGATGCCGAGCGATTCTACCCCAAAATACCACCAAAAGGTGTATCCAAACTTTAGTTTGAAGGACAAAGTATACATTGTTACCGGGGGCGGCAGAGGTTTGGGCCTTGTGATTGCAGAGGCAATGACTGAGGCGGGAGCCGATGGTTTGTCCTTCTGCCTCTCCGTATTTCCTGTACTAACAGGTGTGATAGTTCATTGCTTTGATGTGTTGCCCAAGCCAGTTTCAGAGTTCTACGTTTCCCAGGAAATCGCGAACAACGATCACATTGGCTCGCTACATTACCATCATGTTGATGTCCGTGATTTGAAACATCTTGAGGAAGCGGTCGATAGAGTTGCGGGCCTATCGGGGAGAATTGACGGCCTTGTTGCTGCTGCAGGAATCCAGCAGCTCAAGGATGCCGTTGACTTCACCCTAGAAGACGTCACTAGAATGTTGGATGTGAACTATACCGGACTCTTCATGACGGTTCAGGCAGTCGCTCGGCATATGATTGAGTCAGGGACCCGAGGGTCGATAGTCCTAGTCGCTAGTATGAGCGGCTTTGTAGCGAACAAGGGACTTCATTCAGCCACATACAACTCTTCGAAGGCAGCAGTCGTCCAGCTTGGCCGCAATCTGGCAATGGAGTGGGGCCCGAAGGGTATTCGTGTGAATTCTCTCTGTCCTGGGCATATCATCACTCCTATGGTTGAGAAAAATTTCGAAGAAGTTCCGGAACTGAAGGAGATTTGGATAAAGGAAAGTATGCTAGGCCGTCTAGCTCGACCTGAAGAGTTTACCGGAGCGGTTGTTTTCATGTTGAGTGAGGCTAGCAGTTATATGACTGGCAGCTCGCTCATAATCGATGGTGGTCATACAGCTTGGTGAGCTGAAAGGCTTCGTTTAGTTTCTCTGTTGGTATGTCGAGGTATCCATCAGTTATGTTTCGGTGATTTTGAGCATATGGTGTATTAGCTTGTTAGCAGCCTAATTTCATAACCTTCTAAACTGTATTTGAGGGACGGTGTCTATATACTTATGTATGTATAGACGATTTGTATTGGAATATATAATTACTTTCAAACTATTGGCTTGCCTTGCTTACTTCCTTTATTTCTTCTATTGGTTTATTATTTATAGTAAACTCTAACGTCCTGTTCAACCAATGAATATTTTTTATATTCACCTCCGCAGCCGTCAGTGGTGAAAATTCACTGGTTGGTGGAGACGCTTTAGCCAATTAGCGCAATGGCATTGAATATCTAGCTTTGTAAAATAAAGCTGTCTCTTAATTCACGGTAAAAGTGGGGCCCTTTGTCGCCCAGTGATTGATGCCGTCACTCGGACGTCTATATAAACTCCAGGCCGTCTTCCGTTGGCCATTTTTCTTCCCTACTTTTTATCCCTTAGATTTAGACACGCCTTCCTCAAATCCCACTCTCCAAGGCTAGCATTAGTTAATTCTCCTGCTCCTCTGGTTACTGCGTCACAAAATACCATGTCTATTGGGCCGAGATGCTGACATGTCCGAACAATTCTCAACGTCAGCAGTTTCTTATGCTGGCCCTCTTCTTACCGCCGAAAGTGGCGTGGAGACAACACCTCGGGCTACAAAAAGAATAAAAAAGAGAGAAGGCTCTTCTGAGGATAACGGTGTCGCGATTCTAGGCGATAACGGGTTTAAAAATGAAGATTACCGTTGTGGTGGCCCAGGCCTTGTAAGGCTCCCTACACTCAACGAAATATTAAAACCCAATGAGCCACTCCATATACTATACCACGAGGAGCTGGTAGGTCCACTAAGACATATACTTGAAAAGTGGAATGTTGATTCCAAATTTATACATTTGGTAAGACGATATCATGCTAGAGACAGCCCTGACACATCGGCAGAGACCGTCGTTGTCTCTGCCAAAAAACATGAGCTTGATAGTTCTTGGCTTTATGCTTGCCAGGAGATCCGTCACCTTTTTCTACAGCATGGTCAGGTAAGATTGAAAATCGAAATCTCCGATGAAAGAGCTCTCGAACCCGTATTCTCACGATCAATCACGGCCACTGATCCATTTATACATAAATGGCAAGGTTTAAAGGGTCAGATATTGAATATTCTCAAAAGAAGTGAATGGACCCTTCTCTCTGCTCACCTTAGGGGTCCCCGAAATGGCAAGTTTGCACACACGGTGGTAATTTGTGTCAGGGAGGACTCACGGCAAAACTGGAATGATGTTCGAGATAGTATTGTTCATCATTTGGATACCAATGATCTGACTCATATTGCCGTGGAAATAATCCGTGACTCAATATTTTATTGCCCAGAGCAAGCAGCTATTCTCGATGAGCAGGACTGGGATAAGAAGGCCAAACTTGGCGGTAGCCTCGGAATGCGAGGAGAACCCACTTCATCATTCACTTTTGGAGGGTTTCTTGAGTTACAATTCCATCGCCACCACCAATGGAAAAGGTTTGGCGTGACAAATTTTCACCCTATAGCAAATGATCGTTGCCTTGATGATTGGAAAAGACACGGAATTATACCTGAGGACTCTAGGAATAACATTTCTATTGATCATCCAAGCCTTGGCGATCATAACATGTCTATGAAATATTATGAGGATAAGGCTGCAGACATTCAAACACAGAAGTATTATGAGATCCAGAGGCGCCTTGAAGACGAAAATCCATCTCTTTCCAGGACTCAAAAGGCCAACTTCAAATACGATACGGATCTTCTGAATAGGTATACCAAGACTATCGATCTCGCTAATGAGTTTCATCAGAAAGGAAACCAATATCTGGGAAGAGTATATGCAGCCTCAGGGCTTAGGATAACCGCAACGAACAGGATGCTAGACTGGGCTTTGATTGAAGTAGAACACAGGAGACTGTCGCACAATGAAATACCATCGGCGGAAGAAATTCCCAGGAGCCGCAGAGAGAGATACCGTCCAGACGGTACAGCCTTACAAGCAGCCACACATCTCGAAGCCGACATGCACCTGTGTAAAATCAGTCGTAGGACTGGTTTTACAGAAGGTCGACTCGGTGCTCTACATGTTGCTGATCTACAAAGTTGGTCAAAAAACCAGGATGGAAGCTGGACCAAGGTCCGTGGCTCACTTCATGAGATTTTTCCTGTTGCTCCCCGAGGGATATTTGGCGATCCTGGGGATTCTGGTGCTATCATAATGGATCGAAACGGATCATTTGTAGGACTTTATGTTGGGGGATGTATAGAAACTGGGACAAGTTATTTCATGGAAGCCAGCGATTTATTCCATGATATTAAAGATATCACTGGTGCGATGGATGTCAGGATTCCGCAAGACGACTCCTATTAGATATCAAACTAGGGAACATATTGCGATGTACCTGCTTCATTGTCTGGTTGGAGTTGTGTGGACAGGTCAACTTTCCCACAACTGTCCAGCAACTCGTGGAACTAGCGTTGAGTACATTCCACCAGTCCTGGCCCCCTACTCAATATCAGATTTAACAACGACTTAAGGAGCTGCAGGATGCCAAAACTCTGAACTTATTTTAGTCTCAGTTGTGGAAGGATAACTACGCGGAGCACACAAACCCTTATTTCAAGGCTGTTACTGCTTGGGGGTGTACCTACCTTAAGGCCACCACCTGCGAGGACAGAACTAAAGGTATCGCGGACCAGACTCCCCTCAACCTATCCCTTATCTTGGATGACTATACTGAGGCCCATATGCTGGAAAGGAGACAGTACGCTGCTTTTCGAGCTGATGGCCTGGATCTGGTTACTGAGGACGATCTAAGCCCACTGCAGCCTCGTCATGTATCCGCCTTAGACGAGCATCGAACCGGCTATTTCCGTCATTTTGGTGACCCGCCAAAAGATGGCTCCGTGAGGTTGATGCAGGATATAATAGCTCTAGATGGCGATAGTAAACTTCGCCAGCTCAGAAACCATCTGCCGCTCCGGTGGGGCGCGGCCGCAACTCTAAGCTTAATTCTGTAGTTGAGGCTGAAAACAAAACCAGTACTTATTCCGAAGGATAAAGAAAGTAGATACAGTTAAACGAAAAAAAAAAAAAAAAAGAAGTACTTCGTACAGATCAATCATCTACATCAAGGTCATGACGATGTATGGAAATAGCAGGACAAAACAAACTCATTCACACGTTACCATTCCCACCACCAGACTCATTTCGTCCCAGACAGTATCCTCCCTTCAATGGCATTAACTCGTAAAGCGTAAAGGCGCACAGTGCAGCTGTCAAATGTCTGAAAAGTTCATTGGTGGTCAGCGCTATAAACTAATATGTACTAAATATTGTCCGAGCACTTACGAGCGGCGCAGTAGTATGATCCCAGCTGGGTCAGTCGGCCGCAGCCAAATTGGAGACATCTAGACCCGCAGTCCGAGAGGTATCCACCGCTGCTGTAACCGCTGTGTAACCCGCTTGACGATAGGGAAGGTGGATAGAGCAACGTTTCGTAGTCACTGGAGTAGATCCGATTGGAGTCTAAGTTGGGCGTTGGGTAGGATTCACACCAAGATCTCAGATAGTTTGACGCGCTGAATTCGGGGATAGGGAGGTATTCTGTGTCTGGATCCAGGTACGGCTTGGAGTCCTCAAACTCCTCCCACAGGAGCCGTTCGGGGAATCTGATCTTGATATCTGAAGCATATGGCCACATATTGACTGGTAGAACAACAAAGACAATTCTTTTGACTGATGGAAAATAATGTATAAGTGTTAAATGAGTTACAGCGGTAAGAAGGGATTATTTTAGATTAGAAAGAAGGGCGGGGATATCTTCGTCTTATATAATTCATTTCGTATAACTTTTCTCGCTCATATCAATATTCTACTTAGCGCCTTAACTTTGCGGCGCAGCGGTTAACTTCTGTCCTGGGTGACATTGAGAAACGATATTTCAATGCACGGGATACAGCGAGAGGCCTATCACAAGTGCGAGAACAGGGCAAGGGAGATCCGGGCGTTTGGTTGGAGTCACAAACGATTTCCTGGATGCAGCCCGGTGGTAGAGTTGATTGGACACCGTTTGCCCATATATTCATCCCCCTTGTTCATGAACTAGCGCTGGATGAGGCTCTATAAATAGGATCTGAGGCGAATTCCGCGCTCGGGACATTGTCGATTATGCGAAAGTGTTCAAGCACACGGCACGGCTGTTGTATCGGTAGGCGCCGGAGACCTGTTTCGAGCATGAGATTACCTATTGGACATGGACGTCATGCCATAGTTTGGTGACAGGGCTGGCCTCTATTTTTATCGGGAGCCTGCAAGCCGGGCGCATAGGTGACGCTGGTCTAAATATGGACGACTGTCATCTGCTCAAAGAGCACAATGCATGAGCAATATTGACTCATTCTTGAATACTCGAAGGGTGATGGCTAGTTAGGCATCCATGTCCACGAAAGCTGAGTTGGGACTCGGAATCGTGATGGTGACGGCATCCACTGCGAAATAATAACGGCGTAGCATCCGCATGACCGAGAGATTCGACGGCTCGAGTCTTCCTATGTGATCCGCCGTGGGATGGAATCTAGGAATCTAGACCGTAGGCGCCTCCTTTGCGGCGCAGCCTGTCATGCGCTGTCAGTCTCGGCTTGATTTCGCTGCCTAGACCGACAACGGGCGGCGACAAGATGGCCAAGTTACTGGGTAGTCAATTAACTAGTCGCCGAGGCACGAGGGCCTTTCTGTAGAGAATGCAATGGACATGACGGCGAGATGTCTCTAAGATAGTGGCGTAACTGACTAACTAGTTAGTTAGGTAACTGCTGATAGCTGGTAGTTCGTCCGAAGTTGCCTGATCGTTAGTTATTGGAAGTCGCTGAGCGTTGAAGCGCCAGCTCGGGGGCCAACCACCATCCAGCCATATATTAATTAATAGTCAACTAGACAGCCACTCTTTAGTTGAATAACTAAGTTAGTTAACTCTTGTTGGCGAATCGCAACTCCACCCTTGCTGGCAGCGAGCTTGACGGCCCAAAGACCGCAGCGCAGCAACAAACAGAACGCAGCAGGCAGACCACCCGATAAGCAACAAGAGGCACCGAGAAGAAGTCAGAAGTATACCCAGATGCCGCCGATTCCACAAGCCCTGGGACGGCCGCGAGTGATATCCTATGTCCAGACGTACTTCCCGGATAATGGACCCTACGTCTCGCTGCTCCCGCTGTACACGAGCTCCAGCGGCATAACGCATATCATCCTGGCTGCATTCCACATCAACGAGGACGCAGAGAGTATCACTCTGAACGACGACTCTCCAGACCATACTCGCTACGGCCCCCTCTGGGAAGAAGTGCGGGTGCTCCAGGGCGCAGGAATCAAGGTGATGGGGATGCTTGGGGGCGCTGCAAAGGGGAGCTTCAGGCGGCTGGACGGGGATACATTCATGGAATACTACGCTCCTCTCCGTGAGCTGATCAGAGTTCGCCAGCTCGATGGCCTCGACCTGGACGTGGAGGAAGAGATGTCTCTCGAGGGGATCATCCGGCTCATCGACGCCCTCAAGTCAGACTTCGGCAACCGCTTTATAATTACCCTGGCCCCCGTTGCGTCGGCCACGGTACGGGGTCTACGGCATCTCTCTGGGTTCAGCTACTTTTCCCTGGAGGAGCAGAGAGGATCCAAGATATCCTGGTACAACACTCAGTTTTACAACGGCTGGGGCGGCATTCAGGACGTAACCGCCTACGAAACCATCATGTCGAACGGGTGGCCGAGCGAGAAGATCGTTGCCGGAGTCTTGACCAACCCTCGCAACGGCACTCAGGGCTACGTTCCCGTGGAGCTTCTGAATCTTGTTTTTGCGACGCTGTGTCAAAAGTACCCATCGTTCGGTGGCGTCTCCGGGTGGGAGTACTTCAACGCCCTTCCCGGAGGGGAGGAGAAGCCATGGCAATGGGCGGCTATCATGTCCTTTATCTTTGGAATGAAATATCTGTATGACACTGCCGTCGTTGGGGCTTTCTTGATGGCAGTGAATAATGGCCCGCATAGAAACTGATGACCACTTCTAGACGATCCCGAAGACCATGTAGATTCAGAGAACTGGAAGCAAAGGGAAAGGAAAAGGGGCCAAAAAAAGGAAGAAAAAAAAAAAGGAGAACTGTCTTAACGTACGATTCTCGGTGGAGTAGAAGTGCATATATAAAAAAACCCATGTTCAGCCTGAAACTGCGTTGTCTCTCTGTTTACGCCCTGACGTAATAACCAGTTAGTTAGCTTTTTGCCTGCTGCCTGCATATAATTTTTTCATCGAGCATGCAGAAACAAGAAACATTCATGATACAAGGACTCGACTGTTTGCCATTGAACACGCCCGGACAGCTCCGTCGAGCCGATAACTAGTCGCTGGTCGATGAGTTTGCAGACATGCGACGGTATCAGGAAGTGCTTGCAACCGTCTGCTCGACGCTCATCCGGTTCCTGGGTTACATCTTCCTGCGCTGGGTATCTCGCCCTCTCCCATCACCTCGATCGAGAGGACCATCCAAAGCTGACATTGAGCTCTAGATTCCCGCCCATCATGCGCCTCCGATTACCGTGTCGTCCCTGTGTATATATCTAAGCTTGATATGGGCGACGTCCTCGGGTTCGAGCTCGACGCGCGACCGGGAGGACCAGCGTGCAGCCGCATCCACGGCCAAAGAGTCGACCAAAGATACTCAAAGCCCTAGAAATGGCAGACAGGTGTCCGTGTTACGGTCACTGTTGACCGGCCTGCCATGTACCAGTTCGAAGCTAGTGACTTGGGTCACTGTCGGCGCCAATGTACTGCTCAACCTCTGCATACTCGATTTCGTCTTCCGGGGATCGCTATTGTACCCTACGAAGGACCTCTCGTTTGCTCGGGTTGGATACGTCTCGAAAAACAGCGCTAAGATTCTCATCCGAGAGCCCGACCCAGAAAACTTGCCATTGACGGTGTATCACCGGCTCAAACTCGATGCTCCAACGGATTCTTGGACGCTGACCGAAACGATAGACACCCTAAATGATACAACGGACTACACGTTCCCGGTAGTAATAGACGGCCTTGAACCTGAAATGGTGTATGAGTACCTGCTATCCAACAACATATCCGGAGAGTTCACCACCGCCCCAGGACCAACCTCCCTAAGGTCAATGCATCTCAACTTCTGGACGACAAGCTGTATCAAGGCGAATTTTCCGTACAATCCATTCTCCCACCCATTCAGGATTTACGGAATCGAAATGCTTTCCCAAGTGTACTCTAAGCTGGATGACCTGGCCATACCTTCGTTCATGCTTTTCCTGGGAGACTTCATCTACATCGATGTGCCTCTGCAGTTCGGCTCTGCCAT